GGGCCTTGGGCCTTCTCTTGGAAGTTCTGGGTCTGTCTGGCCCAGCTGCAGTTAGGTAATTATCAGGTTGCAAAGGGCAGGGGCATTCATATGCAAAAGCCTCTGCCGCAGCCTGGGTGGGGTGGGGTCTCAAGGAATCAGCAGGGGGGAGCAAGCAGCTATGGCGGGTCCTCAGCCCTGCCCCAAGGAGTCGCGCGTCTCGGTGTCCCGATAACTGCCGCAAGCACCTCTGAGGGAAAGCCGCCCTCAAGCTCGCCCGCTGCCAGACAGTCCAGTTTCTCCCCGTATGAGTCCTGGGTCCCCCGAGACTTCCCGGACCTGGAGTTCAGAGCAGTCGGGAGCCTGTGACTCCCTCCCAATTCAAAAAGACAGCCGCGTCCTCAGGTGCCAGCCCCTTTCCACGCGCGCGAGCCTCCGTACCTCTGCACTTTACTACCGCAGCTCCTCTGGCTCTCAGTGTGCTTTTCTTTCCTTCTAGTTGTAGAATTTACACTCAGCCAGCCTTCCTGTAGTTCTGGATGATGTCCGTTTTGTCTTTTTGTTGTATTTTTCAATTGTTGCGGGAGGCAGCAATTTCCCGGTGTTTATCTATGCCGCCATCTTAGTTTTTCTCCAGAGCTGCATTTTTAAATGACTGAAAAAAGTTCAAAAGAAGTACTATTTTGTGATATGGGAAAATTATGTGACATTTAGAATTTATCATTCATGAATAATGTTTTATTGCAACACAGCCATCCTCATTCCTTTATGTTTGTCTGTGGCTGCTTTCCTGCCACAAAGGCAGAGTTGAGTAGTTGCAGCAGAGTTTGTATGTGGTATTCACACTTCTCAGTGCTCAGTGCTGCTTGGCACACTGCTAATTGCACTGGCACAGCTATAACTTGACAGTATTTTAGTACCATGTGTATCACTGTACTGTGATGTTTTATTTTGTTATCAGTGCTTTACCTATCCTGCCAAAACAAGAAAAGAAAAAAGTCAGTTGTTAGTTGAAAAAGCAGCTGTATGTTTTAAGCTCAAATTATTTGGGGGGAGGGTTGTGGTTACCTCAGTGCAAGCACGAAAGAAATTTCCACATTTCATACTTCATTTGACTCTGCAGTTGAGGAGCTTCCACCCAATCTTCAATCAGGACTCACTAAGCTGCAGTATAATGACATGCTAGCAGGCAAAAATCAAGAAAAGAATCTAATATAATTCTGCAAACGCTTTCCAAGCAATGAATGTGCCCAATTAAAATTATATGTGTATGGATATGTATCAGTACTGGCAGTATGTAACTGTACAAAAAGACATATTTCAAGGATAAAGCATGTAAAATTTTTTTTTTCAAATTTTATTTTTTATTACAAAGGGTATTACATATGTGTCCATTTTTTTCCCCGCCCTAGACAGTCCCCTAGCCTCCCCTATTCCCCAGTGTCTTATGTCCATTGGTTAGGCTTATAAAAGCATGTAAAATTTTACAGATAAACATTGCAATCAATTTTTATGATAGGGAACACTAATTTTGAACCCCAACTTAGCAAAATGTTAACTCTCTTAGAAGATTTTCATTCTTCTCATTAGTAGACCTGTATAGCAAATTTTTACTGTTTTTATTATATTTTGAATTTCATCAATAAAAATGTTGTGGAAATTTTATTCTCTCTTGCTATATAAGTACTTCCATGACATTCTTGATTTTTTCCTGTTAGTTATTTGCTTTGTAGCCCTTTACAGAAGAAGTGCTGACCTCTGGTATAAATAATTAATCTGAGTTACCCCTTAATCTGACCCTGATTTACTTTTCCTTAATCCTGGTTTACTGTTTCTTAATTGGAATGCTTCTTTCTAATTTACTCTTAATCCAGAATTTCCCAAATTCGCTTCATCGTAGTCACTAGACATACTTGTTAAAAACACAGACTACCTTCTGATTCAGCCAGGAAATTTGATCTTATGATCAAGAAAATTTGGGAAGCAGTCTCATGCTATAGAGATTTACCTCTGAGCCCTTAGCCTACTGGTACATTAAATTGCCTCTGTTAGTTCTCAATTCTTTAATTGCTTTTTACTTAGGACTATTATTAGTTCTGCTAATCACCCCACCCCTGCTCCTTCACCAATCACCTGAATAAAATACTACCATCTGTTATTCATTTCATAGGTGGACCTGCTTGAAGTAAAATCTGCAAATTTGGAGACTATCCTTTGTTTTACACAAGAACAAGCACTGAGTCTAAGTTATACCAGAAGCTTTTATTTAGACAATAACAACCTTTAACACAGATTGGGATCAACAAAAAGATCATATTAAAAATTAAGCCTGCCCCTGGTCAGGTGGCTCAGTTGGAGCATCGTTGATACCCCAAAGGGTTATGAGCTGGATTCCTGGTCAGGGCACATACAGAGATTGCAGGTTTGATTTTAGTCGCATAGAGGAGGCAACCTCCTGTGGCCCCTCCCCCCAGCCAGCCCTGCCCCTGACCAGCCCCTCACCCCCACCCGAACAGGGGTGGGGCTGGCCAGCCAACCTCCCATGGCCCGTCCCCTTGGCCAGGCCAGCTGGATCCCACCCGTGCATGAATTTGTGCACCAGGCCTCTAGTATATAGATATGACTGGAAGAATGAAATTCTCTAAAGATGTACTTCTCTTGCCTATCCTTGGAGGATTTGTGGTCATGTGGGGGGCATTTGATCATTCCAAATATTGGTCCTCATTTACTTAAAAAGGTTTGAGTATAAAAATAAATGGCTTTGCTTTAGTTAGTTTTTCACGCTGGTTGTATTTGCTATTACGTATTTGATGGTGAGAACAATCAGAATTACTCTTAGCCTTATGAAAATCATATTTAAAAATCTAAGCTATTTTAATTAAAACAATTATTTTCTTTTCTCATTGATTTCTAGATGAAGCCAGCCTGTATAAAAGCCCTTACTCGTATATTTAAAATATCTGATCAAGATAATGATGGCACTCTCAATGATGCTGAGCTCAACTTCTTTCAGGTAACCTTCCTCTTTTTCTGATGTTCGTATACCTTGTTGTGTGTTTTTGGCGGGGTGGGACTGAGAAAAGCTATTGGAATTTATTAGCTTAAACAGTGCTATGTTGATAAATTTGAGTCTGATTCATGTAAAAATTATCTTTCATGTCAAGCTATTTAAGTCTTTGCCTAGGGTATAAAACTCTTAGGCATAGGAATCAAGGAGACTCTTTGATAGCATTATTTCATGGTACACAATGGATGTGTATTGAGGATGACAAAGTCTGAACTCTGAGTTATTTTTCTTTCTTGGTTTTGTATAACATAGCTTCACAAAGAGCTCTGTGTTTTAGAAATGTGATGGAGAGAGTAGGGAAGGTTTCTTTCCTTCTAAGTATGACATGTTTTACATAAATAATACAAGGCAGAGACCATCCTAATTTATAATTTGTTTCTTTCGGTTGCAACTCATTGATTTAATACTGCTTTGTAGACTGTTTTTATATATTTATATTTAATGCTGATTTTTGTTGGGTTTTTTTTTTGTATTTTGGTTTTTTTGTTTTGTTTTTTGCTAGAGAATTTGTTTCAACACTCCATTAGCTCCTCAGGCTCTAGAAGATGTCAAGAATGTAGTCAGAAAACATATAAGTGATGGTGTGGCTGATAGTGGATTGACACTGAAAGGTAGGTGAATGGTGTTCTTTCCCTTTTTAACTCAATAATTTCAAAATTTGGTATAAGGTCTTCATAGCATTATTTATACTTTAAGGAAATGTTAGTTTTACTCATATATCTGAAATCTAACTTGGACATGTAGGAGTTGGAAGAGACAGGCAATTTGGTGGAGATAGTTATCTTCACTGTCAGCATAAATTAGAGGAAGAGAAATTGGTGGGATCTCAGGAATGCTGACGTCCACCTGAAGGAAAAAGATTTCTGAAACAAACAAATTTAGAGTTTTTCTTTTTAAAAAAAAAAAATATTTTATTGATTTTTCACAGAGAGGAAAGGAGAGAGATAGAGATAGAGAGTTAGAAACATCGATGAGAGAGAAACATCATCGATCAGCCGCCTCCTGCATATCCCCCACTGGGGATGTGTGCGCAACCCAGGTACATGCCCTTGACCGGAATCGAACCTGGGACCTTTCAGTCCACAGGCCGACGCTCTATCCACTGAGCCAAACCGGTTTTGGCCAAATTTAGAGTTTTTCTGATTCATAAGCATCCTTTAAGTAGAAATTATTTTTAGGGGAGACATTTTGCCCATCCGTCACATTTACCAAGTATACAATGTTCCCTGGAGAATGTGTGATAGAACCATAGTAAAATAAAAAATGAAGTTGAAAACCAGAACTTTTCATTATAAAGCACAAAGATCTATAACACAATGTCCTTTGTTTTTATCACCTAACTTTGTGAATGTCAGTGTATTCCTTGGGATATGTTTTGGCCCTTTCTTCTGGTGCCATCTCTTGCTGACCTGGGTATATAAATGAAATGATTCTGAAATCAGCTCTGTTTTTATTGAGACACTTGTGAATTTTGTTTTGATTTGACTTCCAGTATGCAAAACTATTAAGCCTAGGTTTATGAATGTAGTGCTTGCCATTTTGTGTTGCATGCTTTTCTCCCATGTGAGTCTGTGCCCTTTTTCACATCAGCTGTGTTTACTAATTCATTTTATTTCAGGTTTTCTTTTTTTACACACACTTTTTATCCAGAGAGGGAGACATGAAACTACTTGGACTGTGCTTCGACGATTTGGTTATGATGATGACCTGGATTTGACACCTGAGTATTTATTCCCCTTGTATGTACCTTTGGCTTTCTAATTGATTTTACTTGCCAAGTATTTTAAAGTTTTATTTAGCACATAAGTAGGCTTTGGGATACTCAGGAATAATTTAGATTTATAGAGAGATTTGAAACAGGGTTTCTCAACCTCGGCTCTATTGACATTTTGGTCTGGCTGATTCTTTGCTGTAGAGTCTGTCCCATGCATTGTAAGATTTTTAGCACATCCTTAATGCCAGTAACACCTCCTCCCCCAACTGTAACAAGTGGAAAATGTCTAGCATCTCTAGAATTCGCCAAATGTTCCCCCAGGAGTGAAGTCATCCCCAGTGAAGAGCCACTGATTTATAGAATGGCTCAGACTTTTCCTTTTCTTCTCATGGAGAATACAAGTGTTTTTATTTTTTTAAAATATATCTTTATTGATTTCAGAGAGGAAGGGGAAGGGAGGGAGAGAGAAAGATATATAAACATCAATGGTGAGAGAGAATCATTGACCAGCTGCCTCCTGCACACCACACACTGGGGATCGAGTCGCAACCCGGGCATGTGCCCTGACCGGAAATCAAACTGTGACCTCCTGGTTCGTAGGTGGACGCTCAACCACTGAGCCACGCCGGCCAGGCTACAAGTATTTTTAAAAATTTATTCTACTGAGAAAAAAGATAAAAGATGCTAGACAAACTGTTTTTGAAGTCAATAGATGAGAAGTATATTGGTTAACTTTTTTTTTTTCATTAGTCCTTCTTCTTCCTAAGGTTTATAGCCTGTTCTTAGCTCAGGATAAAGTAAGTATTTTTTCCTAAACAAGCAGTCTTTTTGTGGTTATTTTTCTTTTTAAATATATTTTATTGATTTTTTACAGAGAGGACAGGAGAGAGATAGAGAGTTAGAAACATCGATCAGCTGCCTCCTGCACATCTCCTACTGGAGATGTGCCCGCAACCCAGGTACATGCCCCCGACCGGAATCGAACCTGGGACCCTTCAGTCCGCAGGCCGACGCTCTATCCACTGAGCCAAACCGGTTTCGGCGTGGTTATTTTTCTTTAAATAGTGCAGTGTTTACATTCTGTTTGTTTAAAAATGGACCCAGCCCATCTGGAGTGGCTCAGTCAGTTGAGCATCATCCCATGCACCAAAGGGTTGCCAGTTCCATTCCTGTTCAGGGCACATATCTGGGTTACAGTGTGGTCCCCAGTTGAGGCATATATGGAAAGGCAACTGATCGATGTTTCTCTCTCTCCTACCCCCTCTTCCTCTCTCTAAACATGTCCTTGGGTGAGGATTAAAAATGATAAATAAATAGAAATGGACCCAATGACACCCCAAAACAGGAGACTGCCTTGCTGTAGGATGCCACTACTCTAACAAGGAAGTGACTTCCCAAGATCTGGCCTTCGAAGCTTTGGCCTTTCTTCTTCACTTTTTCAGCATCATGTAATCTTCATGTTGTCTTTTATTTTAGCATAGCACCCCTATGCTAAAATAAAATATGCAGAACTAGTATGTAAGGGTTCAGAAGGACTTTGTCATTTGTTTCTTCCCCTATGATTGAGGAAGCAAAGTTCTTTCTGGTTGGATTCCTGGTGCATTAATCAGTTCTAACTTGAAACCTCTCTTGTCAAAGTTATTAAATTAAATTTTGGCTCCAGTAATTTTCCAGCTTTTTCAATAAATCTATATTGAATGATTGAATGAATTTGTCCAGGACGTTTTCGTCAAAATTTCTTTTCTGTACCATTTATGAGGGTAGAGAAATTCTACAAGGGGTTGCTTATTGCTTTCTTAAGTATGACAGTGAGAAAACTCCCATCTCTTATGGCTCTGTGGCTCTATTATCTCTTTTTTTCTTTTTTTTAAAATATATTTTATTGATTTTTCACAGAGAGGAAGGGAGAGAGAGAGAGAGTCAGAAACATCGATGAGAGAGAAACATCGATCAGCTGCCTCCTGCACATCTCCCATTGGAGATGTGCCCGCAACCCAGGTACATGCCCCCGACCGGAATCGAACCTGGGACCCCTCAGTCCGCAGGCCGACGCTCTATCCACTGAGCCAAACCGGTTTTGGCTCTATTATCTCTTTCAATGTCTTTATTTCTCTGCCTTGAATTTTCTGCAAAATAGCCGCTTAGAGCCACCACTTGAATTTTTCTGGCTTTCTTATTAAACTCTGCCTCTGTCCTTCACACTGTTATTAGATTGAATAGATATATAAATACAGATGTGACCTTGGCACTTCCCTTCAAGACAGGATAAAGCCCAAGCTTCTTAACATGGTACATGAGGTCATTCATGATCCGCTCATGCTCACTCCCTGCCTTCATTCTAGAAGTAAATCCGAAACTATTTATAGTCCACCAATCACATTTTCTACCCCTGATATTTCCACTCTCCACCCCCCCTCCCCTCAACCTAATTAATCCCTCTTATCCTTCAAGTTTCAATTCATCTGACAGTGTCTCTCAGCAGCGCTGACACCTTCCCATCCCCAGGCCAGAGACGTTCCAATTCACGTGGGCTTCCCGAGCATCCTTCACTTGCCCATACTTCTCCCATTCTGTTGCGATAGTGAGTTATCTGTGGTCCATCTCCCTCTTGAATGCGGTTGCTTAGAAGGGAGAAGCCTGTCTTGTTTTGTGTCCCTAGTACCTAGCTCAGTGCACTTGATGTTTATTGAACTAATTTTAGAGTGAGTCAAAAAAGTCAAATCAGGCAGAAATAACATCTCTTTACATCATTTTCATCCCATTACCATGTTGACATAATTATGACTCACAATTTGTTTATAGAGGAGGAACAAACCCGTTATGGTTTAATCGGTATTATTTATAAAAAATTTTATTTCAACTTGCCCTTCAGATATTTAAGAACACTTTACATGTCAACTCGAATGAGCATTATTTTGACCCTGAGGCTTGCCTGGCCACTCTAGTGACTTTCCCTGGGAAAGTCCACCTGGCTCCGGCAAGGATATTGTGAGTGGTGTTAATCCCACAAAATGGC